CCCTTATCCCCTGTGTTGCCCTTGCCCTCCCACGACTATATATATATTACTTTAGTCTGTATTTGTTGTTATTCATAGATCCTAAGCAAGAATTGAAGATAAAAAGACTCAATGGGGACAAATTATAATACATGGAAAAGAAGATTAGCTTTGATTTTAAAACATAAACATTTAGATCACATTATTTCAACTGTAGTTCCTACTGAACCAACTGATGTTAGCAATAGAGCAACAAGATCATCTTATGCTAATTGGGAAAAAGAAAATAAGAGGTGTAAGAACATAATTTTGAGAAATATGGATGATGAATTATTATTGAGTTTTCATGAATTTGAAAATACCAAATATATTTATGATGAATTGGAGATACAATTTGGGGTGACTTCTATGAGTAATTTAAGAGTTTTGGCTCAAAATTACTATTCTTTTAATATGAAAGAAAATGACTCTATGGTTGAACATGTTAGGAAAATGATTTTGCTAGACAAACAACTTATAAGTGCTGGTTATTCTTTGAATGATCAACAACAAGTTTTAACTATATTGAATAGTTTGTCTAATTCTTGGGAATCTGCTATGATTACTTTATCTGCAGACCGCAAGGATCTTACACTTCAAAATATTGTTGTTGAATTGAAATCTGAAGGGGATCTTAGATCTTTAAGGAGGGCTGATGTTACGACAACGCCCCCAACCCCCTTACCGTACGTGATGGAGGGTGATTGAGTGCAAGTTCATGATCCCAAAGTAGCATTTGTCAATTAGGTCGGGGTGAATTCAACGTCGTTATTTTGGTAATCAAAGCGAACCAAGAAAAGATAAACACTCAGAAATTCTAAATACAGGGTAAATTATTAATTTAAAGCTCCATACATTAACAAGAGGGTTTTACATAATATTCTTCCAAAAACATTACATTTGAGTGTAGAGCATCGAGGCTCAAAATTTATAGGTTCATGCAATAAACAAAATATATGGCTAGACTTCCCAACCACATACAAGATCTAGATTCCGCCTCCAAGAAGTCTGGCATCAACTTCCTTCAGAAATCCCCGCCGTTCCAACTCTTGGCCTATTGTTATCAGTCTACAAGGAGGGGAAGGAGAAATGGGATGAGTTATACAGCCCAGTAAGTAGGTCTAATCGCTATGCATCAATAATGAGTCCATTCATAAATTATAAACAATTCATTTAACTATACGAAATTTCAATGTAGCAGTCATAAGAATCAACTATCAGATCAGTTCGTCTATTATAAGCATTTTATCCATATAACCAGTGTCATTCAATCGATTCAATCATCGACATTCACAATTATTATTCAACTATTACCCACTCGCTCTCTAGCTCACCTACTCCAATAGTAAATGCCCTATCATCGGGCTAAACCAATCACATTGCTTAAGACCTCTACTATCTCGCAAGAGAGAAAGCAATGACAAGTGGGGAAATCCACTTCGTAATGCCCTCATACTCACACACACGGCCGCCAGCATGCATTGGGGGTTCGATAGGCACTTACCTTACAAGGCATTAGTCGTTAGTCTCATCTCAGTAAATCTCGAGGGGTGCGACCCTCCCATTTCACTTTCCCCTAACTACATCATATAATTCAGTAAGTTAGGGGATATAGCCGGCATCACTTTCCTCAGTATAGCAATCCTCACCACTGATGGGTGCCCCATCGCGTGGCAAGCAGTACGAGTGAAACAATGGCCAGTATCACAGTATTAGCATAGAACATTATCCAGGTATCCCATTGCGTAGTGGTCATTATTATGACCTCTTATCATGCTCAAGCATGTTATTTTACTCATGCTAAATCATTGTATTAAAATAGATAAATCAAATTTTCATCATGCAAGCACGGAGTCTTACTTTGAATTATCCAGCATTCACAAAATATTATAACATTTATTATGAAGCATCCATTGCATGAGCTATCACATGACATTTACGCTTAGACGTCATCGGTAGCAATTTGACACTTATCATGTAACATTCATCATAGAATAATAACATTAGCTTTGCACTTGTTCGTTTATCACAAAGCACGTAGTTGCGTAGCACCATCCATATAACACTATGGCATTCACATGAAAAACATTGCATGATACTCACATTTATCACTTATCAAAGATATTACATAGCTACTTGAATAGCTTAATGAATAACTCCGAGAAAGGTGGCAGAAGACGAGCATAACACTAATTCTGTGAAGTGTGACAGTGACATACTCCTCTTCTTAGAGGCATAACTCCCAATCCAAGGATAATTTCAAAATGATTAAACATGAAACTCTAGTTTTACACATAGATCTTTAAAATGGCGGTAGTTTGAAGGCATTTGGACGAAGTTTGATAACTCAAAAACTAGACACAAGGTGAGTAACCGTTGCTGGAATTTCCGGCAAAAGTGAACACCGACTCACCCCCACATTTCGGGGCATAACTCTCAATTCATGAGAAATTTCAAAATCCTCAAAACATGCAACTTCAAGCTTACTCAGAGATCTTTTAAACGGCGGAGTTTGAAAATATTTGGACGATGTTTAATAGGTCAAAATCTCAACACAAAATAGGTGATAGTTGCTGGGATTCCTGTTACTGTGGCGGTGATGCACCCCCATATTTTGGGGCATATCTCTTAGTACATGCACAATTTCGAAATAGTATAAAAAGTGCGATTTAAATAGACAAGCATATATTTCATTCAAAACCAGTTTGGGCTCGTTTGGACATTTTTTGGCTATTGAAACATGCGATGCAAGAACAATTACAGTTTTGAAAATTCACGCCCTCAAGTTTAGCATACATTCAAGAGCATTCAATGCTTCATAAGCCAAAGAAAATCTTGATGCAAAACCAAGTTCATATTACACTAATCTCATAAGTGAACAACTTCACACACTTCCACCACAAGTAAAATCATATACAGGGCTCAATCAATCATGGCATCTGAGATTTCAAGCTCATCACAATGCATTCACACTCATACATTTCAACCTAGCATTTTCCTTCACTTTCAACATTTAGCATAATTTCCTACAGTTTTATTGATGCATAAAAGCTAGACTCACTTACCTGATGCCCACGATGCTCCTAAACTCCACACACATAGGCCACTTCAACCTCCTAGCAAGACTCCCCAATAGCAGCAGTACAAGGGGATTCACACTTGAGCTATAGAGAGAGCAAGTTGGGAGAAGGAGGGAGATGAGTAAAATGGCGGAAGGTGAAGAAGAGTGGGGCTTAAGTACCCACGGTAGGTGGAGTCCACTGTTGCTAACTGGGTAGGTGAAGGTCATTGTATCTGATATGTACGATACCGACAGGTGCAGCACTGACAGTAGTCACATCTTCCCTTTTTCACTCACAGTTCTATCCTCAGCTCATGCACGACATTACTCATTTGATGCCTTCATAGGCGACGATAGCCTCCTACACAAGCGGTGATGCTCCAAATGGTTCTACACTCGCGGCGATGCTCAAATTTTCAGTCGCGGCATTGCTCTTCTGTCTTCACAGCCGGTGTTAAGCCTCTTCCATAGACGGCGATGCACATCCCTATCTTC